AGAAAATGATGATACAATATGTTTAACTAATACTCCACAAATAGATGCCAATTCAGATAATATATTCTTTTCCTTTTCTGTTGCACGTTTAGACTCTTTAATGCAGTTACCATATCTATTCCATGTACCAGCAATCGGAGTAACATGTGTAAAATCTGTACTATGATTTTCATAAACCGTTTCCAATTTCCGTAACATATCTTCTTGGATGATTCCGGGAAGATAGGCCATTTCAATATGTCCCAAATTATTTAATAATATTACTCTACGATCACCTTCAAAATGCTGATTATGTGTCATCCTAAACTCGTGAAGGAAAACACATCCTTTCCACTCATCTTTTGTGTTGGTAATTTTAATTTTAATAATATTTGTAATTCTTCCTAAAATTGTTTTACTAACTGCCTCGGGAAGTAAAATTGTTGGTAAAATTTCTTTAACATCATAATCAGCATCATAAATTAACTGATTGTCCGTTTCTGGCATTTTTTAATTTTGAAAATAAAAATAAATTTTATAATTAAAAAAACATATCAATATTTTGAACAGTTCGTTGTAAACCATCTTTCATGCCGATGGAACATACAGTCTGCAATATATTATAAAACATGTGTAGAACAATTTCCAATTTCAAAATTTCCAAATCATTCTTGCCGAACGTTTGCCGAAAGCTCAGAATCAGTGAGAAAAAAATTCAGCGCCTATGTTTATTGATTTTCTCAAATAATAAAGCAGTTGAAGCGATAAAAAAAGACAAAACTATTCTATCAGTGTATTGCTACATATTATAATTATCTTTCTTTCTTATATTATGTTTCCATCTATTAAATACATTCATCTTATTAACTGTCTTCCTAAGAAAATTTGGCTTGCGTAAATTTACACACCATTTTCTTTGAAAAAAAATCTTCCGTCCTTCGATTGGCTATGCATCGTTTTAATTACAAAAAAATAGAAACCACTCCTAAATCAATTGGATAAGATTACTATTACCATTGTTTTGTTTTTGTTGTAATTCCAAGTGAAGGAATATGGAAGAATCATCCACGTGAATTTGAATTGATCATTCCTCATGAATATCCTCATAAAGCACCTAACATTATTTGTAAAACTAGAATTTGGCATCCGAATATTGATGAAAATGGTTTGGTGGATTTGAACTTGCGGTATTTATTCAAACCAACTATGGGATTGAAGGATTTCTTTGTTGGTGTTCTATTCCTTATGCTTGAGCCTAATCCACTCGATTCACAAAATTATAATGTCAGTTTTGGGTTCTCTAATTCATCAAATTAGAAAGTTTGGAGGATGATGAACTACTTGAGTGTATTTTCAAAATTAATCAAACTATGATGAATTCCAGCGTAATGATGATTAGAAGTTTGAATTTTCCGATGATAGAAAACTACTATTATTCATTCCGAGAAGAATCACCATTAAGCAATACTACTACTATTACTATTGGTGAGATGTAGCCCAGTTACTATAATTGAAATATTCCAAAATGATGATAAATATCAGTAGTGATGATGAGTAGAGGTATTCTCCTTTTATTGAGTACACAGAAGTATATTAGATGATGACAATTCTACTCAATCAAAGATTAGATTGGTGGTGATGAATGTTAAAACAATTATGATGGTAGCAGAAGTAATATCAATCAAATTATTACAATCCTATTCCAAATACTATGGTAAACCTTATTCAAAATATTCTCTATCAATCCAATGAATAATAGTAAGTAATCACTTGGTAGTCATTTCAAATTGTTATGAATTAGTGATGACAATACATTTGAATCTCCACATGTCTGGAAATGATAGTATAAACAAGCCAACAAACACCAACAAGATATAAAGCTAATAGACAATAGAAATCAAAAGCTAAAAGAAGATGGATACAGTTTGGTGATGCTATTATTCAAAATAAATTAGTTTGACGATTTTTGTAGACAAACATTTACTTCCAATCCCACTAACTCCTAGTGCTTTAATTGTTGCTGCAAAGGATCGGAAGGATTTTACTTTGGAAGTCGCAGTGATTACTTAGAAGCATGTGTTGATGATGGAACCCTCTTCTTGATGAAGTTGTTGTTGTTTATTTTTTTTTTGTAAATTATTTGATTCTTGGTTTATTCCGCGGAGAAGGATGTTGTTTCTCCTCATCAATAATTACAAGATATTTGTACAGTAATTGTTTCATCTCCTCTTACACAGTGTATAAAACACTCCACAATAATAAAATAATAATAACAATAAATATTCAATTCCCGATTTGGGCATAGATGAGGCTTCATGAAAAAAGAAGAAAATTATTTCCATTACAAAACCCAAGTGTTTCTGTGTTGGAATGGAGAGTATATTCCGAACTTTTACGAACTTTCAACTAAACTGAGATTCTTCCAACTCACGATTCGAATATTTTTCAACATTTCCACAACAAACTACATTACGGTTTTTGACAATCAACCACTCCAATCTTGTTGATCAGCAATCTACCAACTCGCCAATAATAATATTATCATGTTTTAAATAATAGTAATGCTTTAATTTTTTTCAAAAATGGATTCGAATAGATCATCTTGACAGTTGAAACTTGACAAATTGACGGTGATCCTCTTCGAATAAGATCGAATCTTTTTTGCGTCTCATCTGAAGGTAGCGGAAATCGACCATGCAAAAAATCAAAGCTTTTCTTCCTTGTTTCGAATGCGAGTGGTGACCACACAGCCGAAAGTTGTTGGGCTGTTTCGACTCAAAAAAAAATTCACTTCACTTTTTTTCAGCAAGCCTTTGAAAAAAGTTGCAACAGAGAATATTCTTCTGCTTTCACAACAATAACAACAAGCTTTCTAGAAGTGCAAGCTCGTTGTGTGCAATTACACTCTCATTTGTAGTGGTAGTATTGAATATATATTGGTTGATCTTTAGAGATTTTCCGAATCAGTTCTATTCTCCTGATCAATTTAATCCTCTCGTTCTTGACTGACTATAACGTCCAATATATTGTAAAATGTCTTCTGCAGCAGTTTGTGGATTTATCGATAGTAAGAATGGATTATTAAGTAGTTTTGTTAATAGATGGAGTTGGTATGTCAACGAGGGTGTTTTCTCAACACCAGACCATCCTCCTCAGAATTTTGGTTTATTACTTCCTGTGATGAGTGTTTTGAGTTTAATCTTTCACTCTCTAATGTATGCTTACGGATCAGATTGGTTTTCAAAGAAATATAGCACTACTTTTAAGAAGAAGATTTTTGGCGAGGAAAAAGAAAGAAGAGAATGGAATAGTAGAATTGTTTCTAATATTCATGCAATTCTTTCTTCACTAATTTCATTGTACTGTATCGTATTTGTTTATCTGCCATCCCCTAACGTTGGAATTTTGTCACTTTCCGATCGTTCATGCATTTTCTTGATTGGCTATTGTGTTGGCTACTTTTTATATGACTTGTACATTGTTGCAAGAAATTATCCTCACCTGGGAGGTATGGAAACAGTTCTCCACCATTCTATTTCAATAGTTGCATTGCTTGGAAGTGCTGTCTGGGAAAAATGCATAGTATTGATGGTTATCATGATGTTTACTGAAATTTCTACACCTTTTGTGAATCAAAGATATTTCTTTTCTAAATGCAATATGAAAGATTCCAAATTATATGCTTATAATGGCATCTTGATGTGGTTGACATTCGGTATTGTTAGAATTTCATTCTGCTTTTACATACCACATTTGGTTTGGGAAGATTCTGAAACTTGGTGTTCATTCCCACTTGGTTGGATTATTCTTGTAACTCTAATGATTGGTTCAATTTGTATTTTAAATATTTTCTGGTTCTATAAGATTACTATGGGTCTCGTTCAAGTTGTTTTTGCCAAGAAGCAACCAAGTTCAGTGCCATCCACATCCTCCACTCCAAGTACTCCTGATCGTATCAATGTTAAGGAAAAGAAATGTGATGAAGACGATGATGACGAAAGGGAATTGGACGAAAAAGTTGCCACAACTTTACCTTTAATAAGAAGATAACCATAAAATGTATTATATTTCGAATATCTTTTAATTTAATATTTTATAACAAGTCATTCCAGCATTCTGTAAGGTAAAGAGTGATTTACCAAATATATTTTAGCTTCTTGACATCAACAATTGCAAAGATACAGCACCGAATTCTGCCCTGTAACAGTCTAGTTTGTTCGTTTCTTAATACACTTGGCAATTTAAAGTAAGTTTATTAAATTCTGCAAATGGAACTCTCAGTACTAAAATTAAATTTGTCAATTAGCTCAGAATTTTTAGAGCTTTGATGGGGTATTTCAGGTAGTGTAGTGGTAAGCATGAGTCGCTGTTAACGATTCGGCGGAGGTTCAACTCCTTCCCTGATATTTACCTTTTTATGACAGAATCCAAACACAAAAAAAGTAATAAGGTAGAGAGACTGCAGCACCACAGGTTCCCAAGTTGTCTCCAACCTCAGAACTGATGTGGCTCGATGAATTTCCAAATGAACAAGTAAATCTCCTGATGAAGATGATTTATTGTGTGAAATTTAGTCCAATAAGCTTCCCGCCAAAGCATTTTCTTTTGATTTTAAAAAAATGCAAATCATACACAATTGTTAATCCGC